CAAGGGAATGTGTTACGCGCCGAAACAGAGGTTTTACGCTCAAATGATCTTACAGAAGCGGGAACTTCGTTCCAAATACCGATTACACCGTCGCCTACTCCCGTCGCGTCTTTGAACGAACCAAAACTTATCGAGATATTGGAAAGCGCTTTATCCAGGCACTGTGACTCAAATAAAGAGCATCTGGACCACGCAGTATACAGTGTCCATCGTCCACAACGTCGCCTACTACTGGGAATGCCAGAGCATCCTCTCGTTATAAATGAAAGATTGTCAAGTACACGCCACCATATACGAGGCATTCACTCCAGTCTCGCCTGTCTCAGTCTCGGTCAATCTTTCGACTTTATCCACAAACCCGAGGTGGATCTCCAATCCTTAACCTACCTTTGGTACGGTTGTCCCATCGTCTGGGTAGTCGTGTCACCGAGGCATTCTACCAAGCTGGAGTCGCACTTAGTAGAACACCTCGGTTTACGGCACAGTTGCAGTCAATTCGTACACCACGAGCGTGTCATTGTCTCTCCATCCACTTTGCAATCCTGGGGTATTGATTTCAGCATTTTCCTACAGCACCCTGGAGATGCTGTGAGGACAGACTACCAGACCTATCGCTACTTATGGAAAATGGGCCCTAATCTGTCGGAGACAGTGAGCTGCTGCGAGGCAGACTGGCTTCCGCCACCGATGTATGTGTACTGCACGAAAGAAGACACAAAGTGTGGCACGTCCTCCCGAGTTACTGCTACCGCCATGGAGATTACCGAACCCCGACAGCTAGAGGTTTACGAACCATCAGACGAAGATGAGCCAGATACGAATGCCAGAGTATTCGATGAACAAAGTCGTCATGTTCTGATGGAGGATGTACCAGCTATCCCCGCAGGCTGCGATAGTCTAACGAACGGTGGAATTCAGGAAGCCGCCAACGACACCCAGGCAGGTACTAACAATATAAGGTCTCGCAATAACCATAGAGCACAATTCTCGTCGCCTCGAGCCATTTCGGACCGGAAAGCTATCACTAATCTTCATCCAAGCCCTCCAATATCATGCGACGACGCGGACGACTCCGATGAAATATTGTCGAGCTTATTTCTTCCGTCTCCTAATAAATCTTCAATCGCTCCCGACGGGGTAGCGGAGGATCAAAGTATTTCGCCCGAAAACGACTTCTTTATTTCGACCGGTCACCAATCCGAGCGGCGACTCCCTGTGCCCGCTCCGCCCATGATAGTCACCACCTCATTGACTAACTCACCAGAGGACACGCCGGAGGGCGATATACCTAGTAGCCGTCTTGGGTTGGAATCTAATCCTTCTGCTGAAGACAGTTATCAGGTTAGAACGGAGCACAATAGGGTTTGGCCAGCTACAGGCATCTCCCTTCCGCAACAAAGTCCAACGTCGGCCCGAACCGAGTCTCTCGAAGAAGGAAGCCCCCTAACCCCTTTCGTTCTAGAGGAGTCACTTGATCAACCATTGACGCTGAGATTTTGCGCCACTGCCGATGGGATCTCTACCACAAGCGGCTCCGTGCCGGCGGAGTCTACTGAGATAGACGACCACTCCATTGCTGCCCCTAGTCCTGGGAAGGTAGCACGTCTTCGAAGCATAAATCCTGATACACCTAATGAAGAGATTGTCCAGGACATCGAAGACTTGATTGGGTTTGGCGTCCGGAACTGGAAGGCTATTTTATGGAAAACAGTCCGGCCAGAAGACACGGAAAAGACTTTGACGAAATTCCGGCCCGGCGAATGGCTTAATGACGACGCGGTCATGGAAACGCTCTACCGTCTAACCAGCAAGCGTACTGATGTGCACGTCATTGAAAGCTATGACTTCAGTGCCGCGTACGAGAAGAGCGACACCGGCAGACTTCGCAGGTGGACGTCACCCTCGATCATCTTGATCCCTGTACATCAGCTATCACACTGGTTTCTTGTCAGTCTGAACTTTGAACATCGCACGATTACTATGCATGAGGCAGAGGCCACCAGTCACCGAACGATTGAGCATTTTATCTCTTCGCTGGTAGACAGCGTGGAAGAATGGACGGTAGAGTATCGGAGTGTGAGTCAATTCCCTCCCCTGACGACCTTAACTAGCTGGCACGTCCTAACGTAAGCTAGACTCTCAAGAATGACGGCAACAATGGTGGAATAATCTTACTCAAAGAAGCCGAGGCCGTTCTCGATCCAATCACGGCAGACTTGCGAAACTTTAATCTCCTCAGGAAACGATATCTACTTCTTATCCTCGACAATATTATGGGAGGTCATCGAGAAGCTCCCGCCGACGAGATAAACAGCGCCATAACGAGTAACACCGATTCTCGCTTATTGGAAGCCGTGGCCGAAAAGTCGATTGTCGCGAAGCCGGGCCAAGCGAAGAGGCTCGCCAGAAAAGTAAACCTAGACTGCCTTGCCTCTGCAATTGGGTGCAAGGAGGTTTTACAAGATTTTCAAGACATGGTCAACATATTACTTGGTATGCCAGAGAGAGACGGCTCCGATATTGACATTGCACTGCGAATGTACGACACATATCAGCACCCCGACTGGAATGTCGACGCCGCACTGCACATCTACACCCAAGAGAGTCCATCTCCGCCGAACTCCGCTCGTGAAGGACGTCTCGGCAACGCTTCGTGGGTTGTTGGTGATAATGTCCAGACTGCCCTCCGACTGTTTAATCGGGGGCGCGGCTATCAGATGTTAGGCGCTATTCAAAAAAACCTTGCGGCATTCCAGGTCTCTCGACTCTTCCGTGCTTTGGAAAGCCATTTTCAAGAAGGGTTTAGAAGACGGAGAAACGCCAAACGCCGCAAGACTGGTTCAGAGATACCACCAGGAGAAGCTGGGCATCGTGGTAACAGTGAAGCCTACGACGAACTTTGTCGTGCCTGTGGCTCCGAAGATACGCAAAAGACAAAGGCAGCTCTGAAAAGTGCCAACAATCGTGGTTCACATCTGCTCCAGTATGAAGCTGTTTGCGGCCGGAACTACCCCCTATGGATGCTCCTACCCGCGAGAAACGTCCAGTGCTCCTTGCATCGTTCGTGTACAGTTCGGCACTCTGAGTAAGTTTCTGGATCTCTATCTCCCTATTTTTCCCCGTGCTAATCATCCTGGAGGTTTCTCAAGCTTAATGAAGAGCAAACACATACATTGGTTGATCTGATAAAAACACAAAACCAACAGTTATGGGAGTCTCTGCCAAAACTTGAAGAGGAAATCGCTAGTCTTTTTCGTGGTGAGCCGGCCGACCTCCATTTTATACAAGCACTGGCAGACGTTTCCGCTCTATCTCCAGAAAGTACATCTTCATTCTAGATATAATATCTAGCGATATTATACATTTGCGTGTCTAAAGTGGCTGAGTACTTGGATCATCCGCATCTGAGATCTCTATGGGACTACGCAAGGAAATGTATCGAAGGCCACGGAACATCACTTTTGCGAAATCACAGTATATAGAATATCGAGCTGGACAAGTCCCAGCCGTAAAATGATTTGAAAGAGAATATTATCAGTACATAGCCTACCTAAGCTACTCTCTTGCTTCACAATAAGGAATTTCATCCATACTACTAGAAGCGATTCTCGTATTGCTTTCCCCGAGAGAACAGTGGTACCAAATTGTTCTACCGGGCGAAAAGGTATTTGCGCCTGTTTTGTTTTTTCGGTGGCAATATCGACTAGAACTTGGGAACTTAATGCAAAGAATTAAATAAAATCCTGACCCAACCTTGAAGAACTTTGACTAAAAGAATGTCTTTCTCAACTTTAGAGAGCCAATTTCAAGTGCAACCTTCTCCGTGTTTTTATTCACAGTAGTCTTGAAGCTGAAATACCAGTCCACGAGCTGTTTCAGATGCGCCTCCATTGCCGATAGTCGACTTTGGAAGTTAGACTGTTGATGTAATCTGGGTTTCTTAGTTAAGCTCTATTTTTCTATGAGTGAGAGAAGCACGTACTCATTTTGAAGCTTTGCGCACATGGTGTCAAGCTCGTTGACGCGCTGCTCGAGCTTCACATACAAGAAATTCAACTCGTTCAGTTGGTTTATGACGTCCGCGCCAAATACCTGGTCCTCGGAGCCGAATTGCGCTTGTTGAAGTTGGGCGGCAAAATCAATAGGTTCAGATTCGAAACTGGGGCACTCAAACGGGTCAAAGGACAGAGACTTTGGATCGGTACAATGAAGGTCTAAGAAAGATAAGTTGTTTTCGAAGTCACTGAACTCAGAAGGTGCCAGTTCAGGCAGCTGAGGATCATTTATAATGGACTCGTCGGCGAACTGATATGGAGAAGACATTTTGGAGTTAGGGATGTTTTCTGTATCCCGAATAGTTGGCTTAACTTATGTACCTAGTGCGAGATAGCTTTAGTAGAAGCTGAAGGTCATACACATATGGGCGATGAGGCTCTCTGATCCGATTATGTCTCGTTTCGCAGACATAGCCTCCATTCTGGCCCTCTGTCGACAGATATAGTGTCGAAGGAGACAATGTAGAAAGGACCCCACGTTTAGAGTTAACTATGGTGGTCCGGGCCCGCTAGGCTTGAAATAGATCTGAGATTATCTCTGTTTCTAATTTCGGAAGACACGGCTATTGAAGAAATGGTAAACTTATTAGTATAAAACCAGGCGAATACCTCTGTAATCCTAAATGAACTTGAAAGGGACTATACCCCAATTTCGGCTCTTCGGAATGGCGACGTCTCAGGCATCATCTACAGTAAGGAAGGCTCCTAGTCCGTACACTACGGCTCACTAATAAGGATAAATAGGGAACGCAGACTGCTCAGTCTTGTGTCACGTGTGTCGAACACAATCTCCATATGTTGTCCGCGGCGGTCGATAGCTGCCGCGAGTCTCTGCGCCTCGTGCATGGGGAACTGGTCGCATCAGACAATTGCGCCCGGTTTTATGCAGAGAAGTGTGGTCAATACCACCAAGTGAATCTCAGTCTCTTCCAAGAAAGAGACGAGATGGCAAGGGAAATTGGTCGTCTTCGCGAAAACAACGCCACAGCATATAGGGATATTCACCAACTTACCGAAGTCAACGATGTTTTACAAAAAAGGATATTCGAGCTCGACAGGAAGGACGACAAACACATCCAGGTGAGTACCTACTCTCCTTAATATGGGCATTAACTGAAGGGCCGAATAGGAAGCCAAGGATCTCAAAGCCAAGATAGCGTTCCTTGAAGCGGAGAGGGCGGAGGCGCGCTGGCCTAGTCCTATCCGCGTTAAATTTCCACCCTATCAAGACGAAAGTCTTTCTCCGCTTAGTCCGGAGTCCTCTCTTGACCTTAACGCAGAATGCACGGAGCTGGTTGATATAATGCTAGAAGGTAGCGACGATTCAGGAGAACTGTCCCATTGAGATTTGTTACCAGCGGATGTGAGAACTTTGAGAAAGAGCGTTGCCAACCCAGTCTAATCGCATGTACGCAAATCGACACTGGACGCAACTTCGGAAAATGCCCTCCGGATGCAAGTTCGGGCGCAGGTTCGCTTAGTTATACTTGGCACAAATAGTGTCCACCAAATTAAGCCGGCGTTCGTTTGCTATACCTCGTACAATGTCCAATCTGACCTCTTCGTCGCCTACTTTTTATAGCCACACCTTGGCTTGAGATCCTCCTACCCCAGTCTTGCGCCCTATTGAACGACGTCGAGACGCTTTTATATATACTTTTCAATTTAACGCGAATACTATGGTCAAGATACCATAGAGACACGAATAAACTCCGATTGATATAGAAAATACTAAGGAAAAGGAGGTACAGAAGGTACTAGAGAGCCCTCCACCATCGGAATCACTTAGGTCAATAGACCTAGCTGTAAGGACGACCGACCGGCGACCGCCGCTTTCACAAACCTTTGCCTGAGGACTCCCTTAAATTAGTCTGTGACCAACTACCGGCATCAACAGCGCCTCCTGCCTTTGGCAGAGGTAACGAGTCCGCAAACGGACTACAAGGCCAGTCGAGGCAAGGTAACAGGGCTTCCCTTGATCCTAGAGATCAACAACGAGGTTGGCTACACAAATAGGCGGCGTCGAGGTCTAGGATTGCGCCCGGGAGATATTCCCCTAGTCATTGTTTGTAAGAGGCCACGCTGCTGGCTCCCTCCTGGAGTTCCTCAAACATCGGACTCGCACAATTAATGATATCTTTGCTAGGAAAGGTACACTAGTGAACTACTTGTAAAGGAAGAACCTATATAACCAATGAGACACTTTGGTTACCTTATTGGCTAGCGTATTATTGTTTCTTGGTGGGGATCGATAGATTTTTTCGCGACATTTGGAACCGGTGTGCTCCATTCTATCTTTCGAAGTTAACCGCCCTAACTAAGGTGGTCCGTCTCCGAACTCGCACTATAGTTTGAGAAGTGGGAGATAATAAATATTTGGACCCAGTGTCGTGAGATAGCTACTACGGTTGGCCACATTAAGTTCGAGGTCTCCCTGAGCTTCCATAATATATAAACTGTTTCCAGTTGTAATCGACTGGAATTTTTAGGTTATTGGTCTCACTATACACACGTACATAGTACCCTTTCTTGATAATGGATGGGTCTCAAGTGCAGTCTGACTCCAAAACATCTTCTTCGAAATCTTCTCTAGCAAATTTCAACAGCGCAACTAACAGTGCGGTTGATGACGCTGACGAAGACTGGAAAAACATTTCCGACCTCGCGGAACGGCGTCGCGCCCAGAATCGGAACGCTCAGGTGTGCTCATTTACCAAGCACTACATCACTTATACTCACAATCACAACAGCGAAGATATCGCAAGAAGCTTAAGGAAAGGTTAGAATTTCTAGAGTTAGAACGACTCAATCTCGCCACACCTGCCGGCAGTCCCCTTTTCGACTCAGGGTCTATAGCAATGGCAGGAGATGGATCCTACGACAAAGGAGCCGAATCCCCAATCACCAAACGCGGCGCGCCTAGCTCTAGCCAAGAGACTTCGACCGCCGACAGCGTTAAAGCTGGTTTCCTCGTCACCCCCACGCTTTCCGAGCAAACAGCATTACCCTCTACAATGCAGAAAAGACAACACTTCGCCGTTTGTACCGGTCACACCGGCGATCAAACAGGAACCAACTGGACAAACTCGCCGACTACCCCGGCCCCTTACGCACCACACACGATCTATAGCAACGAATTTGGGACAGATAATTATGTCATTAGTCCATGGGCCACGGCATATGCTTCCTTGGCAGGCTTAGAGATACCCCAGCCGTTAACGAAGCTAAAACCCCATCAAGATGGAGAGTCTTGTTTTCACTTCGACTATATCTGCTATCACAGAGGATAACGTATCAGTCAGGGACATATTTCCCGATCAAACACTATTGGAAGGGAGGTCGTTGACAATGAAATTAGCCCTTGGTGGTTGGTTGCTATAGGTATGACAAAGGGAGCTAGGAGCCTAGGTCTCGGAAAAGTAGTGTGATAAGAACTATGATATAACTTCCCCCTATAGTGAGATAATCCTCTGAAAGAGTATTACTATTAACTTCGCCTCAAGGCTACACGAGTATGAAAGCAAGCAACATCAACCCTGTAGCTACCCATGTCATCCCTAAAAATACTGGTCCTCTCTGCGCGGAAATCCCTATTTGTTCTCCATACTTGTTGATTATGTCTACCCCTCTAACAATTACGAAAGTTGAAATGGTGGAGGCTAGCGTAATTGTAAGAAACGCCGGCTAAGGAAGATGAGCGTTAGAATATTGGGATCAGTAGGGGGAGTAATGATGACAGTTACCACTTTGATTACGAGGTTCACCAATGTGGAAAGGGGTCGCCCATAGAATACTTTCCAAGCAGCAGCAGATACTCCAAGACCTGTGAATATAATACTTAGCCAATAAAAAATACTCAAGATGATGGTAGGAATTCTGAGAGCGCGTTCCCAAAGTGTAATAGTAGAAGGCCAATGAAGATCTTCTAAGGTTATATTATTAGGAAGGTAATGTTCCACAGTCTCCGTTAGGTTAAAGTTGAACACCATTGTGTGATTCGAGCATTCTGACAAACTCGGAGGATATTGTGTTGCATTTAGGGTATAGTTGCCTGCGCAATAGCCCATTAGATATATGATGAAGAAGTCGGGAAGATCTAGCGCATGTGCAATATCAGAAGTAGCATCATCAAAAAGGTTATCAATGCCCCCCTTGATATTATTTTCAAGCCCACTTAGAAAGCTGCCGTCGCCTTTGGTAGTATTGAAGACACTCGTGTGACCAATGCGGGACATATTTAACTAGTTAATCATTAGAGACTAGCCAACCCGCCGTGGAAACTGTTCCTATACCGTCATTAAATTAGCCTTTCCAAGAAAAGACTTTCTCGACCCCGCTGAGACGCATAATATGGAAATAATTAGAGATACAAGAGAGCAGGCTAATCCAAGGAGTGATAATACTCGCATCGTCAGTGGACTCACAAAGGCCGAATATAAAAAGAGTATACTGGCAAGGAAGAGATAATGAGGAAATAATACAGGTAAACATCTTAATTTTCAAAATCTGTACTTATATAGAATGTATCGAAATGGAAGTAGGTAACAATAGATATTCCGCTTACCTAGTTAATGTTTGTCCGCGAACCCACATACCTTAAAATATTCTCTATAATTCTATATTTGGTTCTTCAGCGCAAGGTTAGCCTGTTTACTGGCGCCGTCTGCCGTAGGCTTCCTAATCTCAGTGTCTTACTATATAAGTGAACTTACGCTCTCTATTTGTATCTTCCACACTGCCATATTCAAAACTCTGTCATTCGATGACTGTCGCTTATATTTATTCAGGATGAAGAGGTCCAATTTACCGTTTCTTATCCTTCTGCCTACAGCTCAGTTGTCCTTATCCAACCCCTTAGTCAATCCTAATCTCTTTCGCCGAGAATGTCAAGGGGCCGCACTCACAGTATTGGAAGGTTCGGCGTGCGACGTCAGCCAGGCCAATGCCCTTGCATGCTCAGATAATTGTTTTGATATAGTAAGCTCATGTTAGATTAACGCACAGTATTGACTAATTGTTTAAAGCTCCAATGTAGTCAACAGTCTTCTGATCCAAATACTTGGCTGACTACCGCTGTTACTCCGGATACTCCATATACCTGGTCCTTTGTAGTTGCGCACTGTGGTTATCCTTATTGTAAGAAGGTAAATGATCAGTATCAATGTAACGGGCCAAGTCCTAGTGAGTAAATAGTTCTCTACATGACAGTTCTTTATATAGCGTGAGGTTTAGAAGCTCTTGAAATATAGACTTTATAGGACAGTATTTCATAGATAAATTTTCTTAGATTAAAGGTATATCCTTAGCTAAATATATTCTTCTACCGTAACCAATTTAACATTAATACTATTGAAGGTAAGAAGAGTTTGCATCGGATCCACAACGATAATTGGAAAGAGGAGCGACCATTATTAGGAGTAATCGTCATACTGGGTGCTTTCTCTCCTACCAAATGTAGCCGGGTAAAATATAAAAGCCAACGTCGCCAGAGTGTGTACAAACAATTCAACATACTCTCTAACAAAGTCTTCTTGTACGTCTAATATCCTAAGAACCCGCCTCCTAAGCCTTCCCTAAGATCTTCTATACGAGGAAGCGCCAAGAACGCGCACGCCGTATTCCTACTTACCACAGGCTGAGAGTAGGCTCTCTCAGGGAGCTCCCCAACGCTGTGGATAATCTATGGTTTACGCCTCTCATAGCTGCCATCTGTCAGTCAGCTCGCAGGCTATGTCACTATATCTACCAGTGGCTTCTAGGGAGCCTTCACGCCAAGGTTAAATAAAGAGGCTGCCTATTCAAAGGAAGGATTTAAATTGCTGACCTATTTTTATTCTGTGGCTCAGCTGCGAAGTGGCTTCTGTTACCTAGCTTTAGATAAAACTTGCGACGCTACGTTTCCTGTAGTGAATATAGCCCAGCTACAGTAAGTTTCAGATGATAGATACATGATTGTCGACCGATAGCCGAGTCCCATAGGTACGAGTTCCACTCGAGACTTTCATCCTCTTTCCAGCGGTGAGACTTTCTTCTGCGGGTCTCTTCCTTTTTCGGTGATCTCTAGTCCCAAAGTAAGCATTAAAACCCTGGGCTTTTATAAGGTTGCCGATCGTTGACGGCAATCCACTAATATGAGTCTCGGTCGATGCATTCCCCATTCGCAGGGTAACACTAATTTGCTCAGCAGTCTTCAGCGTAACGATTCTGCAAAAGTTTCCATCCAAGTCGAGAGATCTTGGATCACACCAATCCCCAGGGATTGGTTCGCCGTTAACATGGAACTGGGCATAGCGGGACGCAAGCTGAGTGAGTAGTATCTTAAATTCCGGGTCTTTCCCTAGGATAGAGCATAGAATGCGGCCGGTACCAATATATCTACCATTCCTTCGCGTCGGTAAATCCCCTAGTTCGAAGTAAAATAGTGAAGCAACTGCACACCTAGCAACTCGATCAATTGACTCCGATAGTGAAGTATTGTGCTCGACATCGGACTTAAGCTCAAGCATATGACTTATATCGTCAAGACCATAATCGTGGTCGACCTCGTGGTCGAGCCGATGGTATCTCGAATGATGGGCAAACACTTGCCGAACTTGCTGATCCCTCGATTTTTCCCAGACTAAATCTCGTACCCTGAACGCAGCACTCGCAGGAGAAGCGGCAACTCCAGGTAATTGGTCGTACGCAGTTTTCAGAAGCTTCCCAGTGCCAAGAGATAAAATCAGATCGATTGACGTCGACGGGTACAAGATAGCCGCTTCCGAGAAAGCCGTGGCGACCGGATCGTTTGCGAGAAGACCAGCATCCTGGAATGTACCTATCTCGGGAATACGCTTGGTAGGGAAGAATCTGATGGACCTTGTTAGATCCGAGCGAAAGATCTCGTCCTAGATACTTACACCGGAGCGGCAGACGCGGCTCTCGCACTGGCTTGGTCAGCCTTGATTTGCTTTCTAAAGAATGCTTTTACTTACATCTCCCAGAGTGGAACGTTTGTCCCTACTTCTTCCGTGTTTTCTAAAACTGTGGTAAGAAGACAGTGAGTACCTCTCACGATAACCACTTACCATAGTTCTCAATGGATTGCTGGCCTTTAACATAATTCACAAACATGCGGCATGACGGCTTCTTCAGTGTCGTCGCCACAAGCACGCATATTTTTGCCCCTAGTTGGGTGGCATAGGAACAATCTAGCATCTTTGTTTCTAGTCCGAGAGTTTGCTGCAAGACCGATTCGAGACCTTCAGGTTTGTAGAGTCCGTCTTGAGTATAAAATCGGAACATCCTCATCAGCCATGATATAAGAGGGATGCCGAGGGTGTTCTCCTGTTTGAAAGAAGATTTGGCAAGATTCAGGAAAGACTCGATACACTTATCTATGGGCCAACCCTTATGGTACATGGCCAACGCCGTGATGCTTCCTACCAAACGGTTAGCCTCGATAACCTGCCCGGGTTGAGAAGCGCGTATACCTGAACTAACACCAGCGACGAGCTTGAAATATTTCTGAATCGGTATGGGGAGACCGATCTGTTCCTGGATCCTCTTCATCAGAGTTAAAGGAATAATGCCCCGCGTTCCTCCACCATCGAGACACAGGATACTCACTCCACGTGTGGGGGCTTTCACCGTGAAGACAATATCCGTTGCCCATTTTACTGTACAGAGAAAGCACGAATCAACTCGATAGACCCATGGTTCACTCGGTGTTACTTTCCCGAAAATTTGAAAACAGGTCTCACACACCAAATGGCCACAGGGGAAACAATATTGTGGAGTTCGGCAGATACAAGAGAAGCAAGTATCCTTACTATAAATCTGGCCCCATTTGTCCTTGTATCTTTGAAGGTTTGTTAAATGGATAGCCGCACTAGAGGCACCGGTGATTGAAGTCAACGCCTGAAAATATTGGATCAGGTGGGTCTGAATCGTGTTCAAAACTCCTGTCCGTAAGATCACCTTGGATGATGACTCGAAAGAGATGACACGCTCACCAAGAGCGTCATTAAGAGCTTCTTGGTATATTTCTTGGAAGAGGTGTCGCGGGTCGAACACTAATTTGGGGTCAGCTTCCTGAATATTTTACTTATCAAGTACTTACTATGGCAATCTGGGGGATAGCTGTCTAAAAGGAAACTCGAAGCAACTACCGGAGCAGCAAAATTGATCAGATCCTCTGGCGTTCCGCAGTGTCGGATGAGGTTTTCAAGGTGGGTTTTCAGGTCTAATGCTGCTGGATTCTGCATACGAGAGGCTTGAATGAAACCAAATGGCTGTGTTGGGAATTCGGAAAAGTGCTTGCACGCTGCCTCGACAAACGCCACTAGGTGAGTCATAGAGTATAGCGTTTGCATTTCAACTCTATGTTTTCGCGCCCTATTTGACGCCATCAATAACCTCTTCTTCAGTCGATTCCAGTCAGGGGAGGGGCCTAGAGTACGAGGGGGGCGGATTGCAACAACTTCGAGGTCAGATATAAGGTCAAATAAGTCATCCTGTGCCCTCTGCTCTTTCAACAACCAGAGGAACGCTTTCTTCGCCTCTCTTTCCCTCTGAGATGTCGGGGGCATCTTGTCAGTGACAATAATGACCGTCGGTTTCGTCAGAGGCGGTGTTTTTGAAACGCTTTTGTTACGAAGCCACCCGCCAAGGTGACGCGCAAGGGTCGGAAACCCTCCCAAATCCGAAGCAAAGAAGCAGAAAACGTCTGTGAAGGGCAGGAGTAGACGGCTAAGGAGTGCTTGTTCGAGACCATCTGGGCAATATGACTCGGAATTACTGAGAGGCCACCTGTTTATCTCATGACAGCTGTGACCTGTCGTGTGATATCGAAAGCCTCGGGTATTGAGAGCGCCTTCGGCGACTAATACCGGTCTCGTGGAGCGCTCTGAGCCAGACACCATGTGCAAATTTACGTCCCCAGCATACTGTTTACTTTTGAAAATCCTTCTCCGCCTAATTCCGAACGCCTTCTCAAGGGCAATTGATTTGGTACGCTCCCCAATAAACACATAGAGGCTCGGTGCGGCCTCATCAGGATCAACTACGTGGCTAAGGAGCGCACGCAGTCTATTAGATTCGAGTAGAGCGGTCTCAAAACCTTGCTTGCTAACGCTGAGCCATTGGTTGTGATTACAAAGTTTCATACTGGTGGTGGTGGCTCTAGGTAAGTTGCCTGAGTTTACCGTTACATCTATAGAAGACTATTACACTTATATACCGCCTTCCGCGGCCAGAAGCGATTGTAGTCAAAAATAGATCCATTTAAGTATTAATAGACCTCGTCGACCTATTTCTAGTTACTCATAAGAACGTTAAATATATTTATATCATCTTAGGACACTGAAATTTCTTTTAAAGCATCTATTCTCCGTTTGCTATTATCGATCAGCCATCAACATTAATATAAAGGTCTCCTACGACTTCGATATTAAAACACACGAGTAAGCAATTGCCTTTTCGAAACTTTCATATCCTTTCGATATAACGATCTTTCTGATTATCTATCTATTCGATGCCGACATCTACGCTGGCCAAGGTCATTGAAATGCCTAGCAACGACCACGGAATATCAAACATCATAAGAGCAATAATCGGTGTACAAGTCGACCCTGGTAAGCGAGAGCTGAGGCCGAGATGCATTCGTTGCGGCAAAGCCCGTTCTGCAAAGTATCGCCGAAATAGTGCATCGACAGAGATATGCTCAAGACCAGCGTGTGATTCCTATGTCAAGGGCATTGTTCCGACCGAAGAGGCCCAGGAGAAACATATCGTCTTGGAGGTCCATCACTATTTCCATGAGCATGGGGAATCGGACCCCAGCCCAGCGCAGCCTCAACTTGCGGAAGTGTCTGGCGAAAGTGCAGCAGAAAGGCGACTAGAAATGCCAGACAACTGGTCGCATCGTGTCACTCGAGCGATGGCCAGACAGTACGAGGCTAACATCAATGAACGCCCTCCATCCTATCGAAGTTTTAATAAACCCACTTTAGTACTTTCAGGTTCTACTCCTTGCTCGGCAACAGCGGCTCAAGCCCAAGATAGTAAGTCATTGATGAACTATTAGCTGCGATGTTGTGGCCATCTCGTGAACAGGCAGAGGTCCAAGGTTGAATTTTTAAAGGGGTATTCCACAATCTAGGCGATAAGTACTCTATAACAAACAATTAAGAGAGAGGAGCTTGGCACCTCTATGCCTCTAGATAGAACCCATAGTTATGTGAGATTAATCTTACCGGTACCTTTGTTTCATCTTCAATAGATAGTCGGGCTCTAAAGAGCGGTTCTATTCACCGCGGGCTTGATATATGGATGGCTAGCGACTCTCTCAAGTAGAACGAACGCAGATAGATAGGAATGGATATCTGTAACGTTGGAGAGGGGCAGCCTATTTCTCTTAGTTCCCATTGGTTTCTATGTCGGTATCTTTACGGCATAACCTTATTATCTCCATAAACTAATATAACCTGCCCATTAAGATCCTCTTAGATAAGGATATTATAATAAGTCGATAAAGGAGCTAGCAACCTATTATATATAATATTTGAATACTTCTCCCAACTTTTTCCTTGCCGCTCTATTTACGTTCACGAAGGTTTCGCAGCGTTTCTAGTGATTGTTGTGACTCTATCTCTACTTTCTTCTTGCTTACATAGGACCTGTAATTTATACTTATACCACAATATGGATACCAACATTACCGTTAACGAAGGTATATTGATAATAAGCGCTAACTTCGCTGTGATAGACAAATATCCGTTATGAACGGAGTAAATATTGATAATGATGTTGAGGAAGCCCATAAATGAGCTAGCGGTTTCCGGGCTTTCGTCTCTGAATTAGCGACACCTTAGAAGTATATCTAAAGGTTTAACCTACTAGAATACCGTACGGATCAACCATACGTAATTCGACCGCCATTTCCGCCACAGAGATATAATGCCTCCAGCCCCAACAAGGCAGCAGACTATGGCAAGCGGTAGTAGTGGAATGTTTTTTATCGGCTTCGCCACCATCCGCCCGGTATCACTATTCTCGAGATGGGTCCCCAAGGAAGTAAATGTCCCAGGGAGGAATATATAGCTGGTGTGGATCAACCAGGATGAACAAAAGGCGATAAGGCTATAGCGCCTCGGGATAGTCTCGGCTTCGAGAACCATAGCTTTGTAACTCGGCATATTTTCTGGAGTTGTGTAATGAATAGATAATGTTTCTAGGCGGTTAACTTGGTCGACTGTAGGATGTACAGCTGAACGTGGCCGCCAAACACCGCCAACTTAACCGCAGATATATTACTAAGAGCTTTCGATGGTGCACCCACTGTACTAAACTTAGTATTCTTATCTAACTCGTTCCATTTTTAGCGCGGACAAAATTATCTTTCGCTTTCATCTCGACATATCGTCGATCTCTCTTTTCTGGATGCACTTACGAAATAAGACAAATTTACACCCACTGTCGATTCCACAATTTGATCTCGCCATTTTTCTTCGATAGTAGAAGTCAATTAACTATTATCGATTTTGATCTACGGAAGCTGCTGAGGCAAATACCTATTTAACCTTTTGTGCGGTAAGATCGCTGGCCCTTAGCAATTGTTCATAATTAATTTCCCTACAAGCATGACATCTACATCCAACTCCGATCGGGAACACCACCCGTCTTTCCTCTTTTCTGATATACCCACGGTGGACTCATTACTTCGGCAGGTTGATCAACTTCAGGAATCAGTTGACGGCGAGATCCTAGAAGGACTTGAGGAGGAAAATGCTCTGTTGAAACAATCTCTTAAATGTGGGAGACAAAAGATGGTATCTCTTGCTACTATCCTTCGAGAGGCCTTTGAAGGCTACGTCGTTTTGAATGCATACCTTGAGAATCTTCAAAAGGAAAAGCGTGCCATTAGTGAAGAATGGGCATCTCTTCTTCAATTTAATAGTGATGAAACTGTTGGTGCAGAAGAGCGGAACAGGAGATCAATCTAAAGTGTACACACATGTGCGAAAACGGTGTCCTGTCTGACTGGCGCAGTTGCTTTGTAGGATTTGTGGAGTGATCCACCTTATGGGTACATTTATCCTAATATAGTTAAGATCGCCTTTTTATAGCGCCCAGTTATCTTTGATCTCTTTCGGATCCACAACTTTCATGACGCTCTGTTACTTTAGCTCTGTTGTCATTTGAAACAATTTTTTGTTTAGTAAAGATCTAAGGGAATCTTATTGTTAGGGCATAGGGCTATGCTCCGTCGTTACGGAGGCTGGGTAACCACGTATGCTTCGCCTCATCTAAGCCTCATCTAAGCCTACTAAATTCCCGACGTCGACAAAGGCTTTAGTAACTTACCTATAGTTTAAAAGGGTCGTGCCCCCGATTATAGAGTCTTCGTCTTCTCCAAAGCCTTCAGTCTCTATACACCTACTATAGGGAGAATAGACTAGATACCCTAAGCTACTCGTTACCCCAGATCCGTTACCTATATAGCTGCGTTCACACTATCATTCAAAAAGTCGCACCTACACACCGAACCTCTCACTAAGCCCGATGCAGAACACCAAAGAGACCGCAGTCAAATATCAACAACGCCAAATAGCGCAGATCCTCGTTAAGCCAGAGCTCAGCGAAATACAAGAGCAGCATAAGGATAAGAGAGCTGATTTTACCGACGACAGAATTGCACATTTCATGCAGATGGCCCGCAAAGCAACCTCCGTTTATCATCGGAATTGTCACGAGCTAGTGGCACAAATTATTGCCGAAAAAGAGTGCCGCCCCATACCACAGTTGAGCGAGGAAGAAAAGGCTGCTATTGCAGACCGTGACATCGCAGAGAACATAGAGACGGCCGACACACAAACCTCAGACGAGCTTCGACATCTCTTTATGGAAATGGCGAAAACTACTGCTGAAGAAGAATGCCGCCCAATGCCAAATAAGGAAGACTAAGACTATAGAGGTATTATGTACTTAATGCAAGGCACGCGAGACGCTCTCAGAACGAGTTCCAAACTAGACATGACTTCCCGATGAGGGAATTGATACAGTAAGAAAACATCCCCATGAAGATCGAAAACAATAGTTCCGCGGATGAGCGACACTGAAGTGGAGTTAAAGAACAGGCTTTGTGCGGTAGGACTCAATTAAAAGGACCGAGCTTGGAGCAGGGCGGGTTTAGTTAGGTCATAAAGCCAAGCCCAAAAGTCGAGCTCTTCCTTCTCAGTCAAATGACGCCGCACCATCTGTAACATAACGGCATGGTACTTAGATCCCGAAATAGTATTAATGATGACTGGACGCCATTGCACTCAGAAGCTAGCTGAAATTAGTAAAGTGCTTTTGGGGTGGATGCTCTCGGCTCTTCCCACAAAATATCTGCGTTACCTAGACCGGACACCGATTTCGCACATCACTGTACTACACGGGAGCCGCCGGGCGTAATAAATTGTGTGTGTGTGTGTGTACTACACGGGTTCATATCTCGGACAGTTCACAAGAAAGACGTCGGTTTGGACAACTTGATAGCCTTTGTCCTGAGATCCTACCAATATACATAACCATCAGATCGAGGGTCAACTGGTCGGGGGTCAACTGGCCGGGGGTCAACTGGCCGGGGGTCAACTGGCCGGGGGTCAACTGGCCGGGGGTCAACTGGCTCGGAACGTAATCGCTAGTATAGAAAGTAGAATAGCATATCTTTCCTTGATCCCTAGGATATATTAGCCTACGTAAATCTCAAGTATATTAGGGATCAACTGGTCCGTAAGTTACGTCAGGGTCAACTGGTCAACTGGTCGAGTATACTTGCGAGGTCAACTGGTCGAAATGACTCACGGGTTAACTAGCTCGTCTCGATGGGGTCAACTAGGCGGCGAGCCGCCTAAGATTAACTGGCCCACTAAATTTTTCCCCCCCCCCCGGGGGGGCGGATTGAAATTCGCGCCGGTGGCCCTCCAGCCCGGTGCGGTCCCCATGCACTCAAACCACAATTTCAGTCCGGCAAGGGGTCAACTGGTCGACGCTCCGGCGGGAAACCCACCGACCCCTCAGGGCCCTTACCTAGCTTCTGCCTAGATGACGATTCTCCAAGCGTCAACAAGGCTTCCACAAAGTGAATCATTGAACTAGTGGAAATATGCCGACAAGTCAGATCTGATCTGCCGCATTCTCGCATACTACAAACATAGATCCCTTTCGAAACCATATCCGGCGGCTTTTTGTTGTGAATAGGCTCTAGGCCACAGGCTTCGCTTGTTGAGGGTCTCTGTAATTTCGTCCTCAAGATCTCCTCCAGGAGACATTTTGCTCATGAAGGCATAGAGAGGTTTGAAAAGGTAGTCGTCTCCTGCCGCCGATCTGAACTTAAGACGCAGCTGCCTCTGGTCCAGCCATACACAGTTCTCCTGCAAATCGGCATCGAGCCCAGTTTTTTGTAAAACTATCCAAGTCCTTTGAGTACATAGAATAGGGGGCTCTTTGGCTGTAAAAGGAATTTGGACCTGGTCACAACCCTATAGCGCCAGCTGTGACCTGCTCGCCTTTTTTCTTTTTCTAAGCATGAGTTTATTAGTGGGATAGATTTCGTAAGGATAGTATTAAAATTCGAAACTGATTCTATTGCGTTAACCCGGGTTCTCCTCACGAGATTTTCTTGACCGCTCCTACTATCACCGACTGAAATGTGCTCGGGGCTAACTAGTTCATTTTCGCCAACGGTCACACTGCTCGAGATCTCGTTTATGTGTATCCCAAATCCCTCTGACGTCTATCAGAAGACTGGAAGCATTACAGAGAAATCGTGTCTCTACGTGAGGTTACAGTTAGAGTGATGATATCAAACAAGACCATAATAAACATAGTGGGAGTTGACAAAGAGCTCCACACGATACTCTCTAAGCATCCGATGGTCTCCCGGTTCATCAGCAGACCATACTTGAACAGGAAGTGGTATGGAGAAGGCTACGGCGACGGATCGTCATCAAAGGAATAGGGCTGGGGGACAAAGAGAGATATTGTCTAGTCGTATGAGTATATATTGATATGAAGATCAACTCTCATATTTCTTACTTTATTATCTCCCAACAGCAGCTGTTTGATTTGTTAGCCAATAAGTCAGATATCAGCGGTTACGATGCCTACGCTACAGTCTGAAGAAAGCCTCTCGGAGCTTGGCAGGAAAATAGCAGAGCTTGCCGAAACCTTCGATAACCGCTACGCAAAGGAATCTCTTGCAGGAACGGGGTCGTCAAGCGAAACTGACAATCATCGCATGAAGGCGCGAGAGACACTGGTCCTATTACTGCACAACATGATCGACAAGGTCCAAGGTCCTACTCGCACTTTGATCGAAATGATAAACACGGCTCGAGTCAGACTCTCGGTGATGCGCGCTCTCATAAACTTCAACCTTACCGAGAATATACCTGACGGTGGTTCCGTATCCTTCAATAAGCTCGCCTCTATCGTGGGAGCTAATCGACTGATGCTAGAGCGTGTAATTCGCTTCGCTTTCAGTCAAAGAATTTTCCGGGAGAAGATTCCAGGCTCGGGAGAGGTGTCACACACAGAACTCTCGAAAGCGATACCAGCTTTGACTCCATGGTTCAAGCTCGTGCTGTCTCCGATGACTATCCTACCGGACTTATCCCTGACAGAGGCACTGGATCAGAAGAACAGAGCGGAGACGGCCGCGCAATTGGCGTTGAAGAAGGGCTTTTGGACATCTCTTAAGTTGAATTCCAAATTCGACGAATTTCAAGACGGATTGAGATCTCTGTCAATCGCTCAAAAGTGTTGCTTGGAGAACCCTGTTGGCGATATATTTCGCTGGGAGGAACAAGGAAAAGCTCTGATCATTGACCTCGGAGGAGGAGACGGCTTTTCATCTATCGAAGCTGCCAAGAAAAATCCTGATCTTCACTTCATTGTGCAAGATCTTGAGGAGAATCGAATCCAAGCAGAGCAGAACATTCCCCAAGAACTGAAAAATAGGGTCCTTTTCCAGGCCCACGACTTCTTCACCCCACAGCGGCAAATTGTTCAACACCCTGTGACCATTTTCATGAAATGGATACTTCACAACTGGTCAAATGACAATTGTGTTAAAATCCTCAGGCAATTATTGCCGCTGTTAACCCAAGAAGGAAGCCGACTTCTTGTGCAGGAGTACCTTTTGTCGGATTGTGGACATATTCGAGCTATGGATGTGACGATGCTTACATTGTTGAACTCAGGAGAAAGAACGCTCTTCGATTTTGAAGCCTTATTCCAGCAGGTGGATAGAAGGATGAGAATTGTCAAGGTCTGGAACAGCGAAGAATGGTGTATGAAGATATTGGAAGTTGTAGTCGACGCTTGAGGGTGTGGGATGACTTTCTTTATTGAAAAAGTATACTTCAGTCTATTTGAAAGTCGGTTCTTGCAATAGCTTTGTCATCATATGTATGAGTTTCCGTATTCCTGTCGGTCGTGAGTTGATTGAACTCTTTCGACGTACAAAAGGGAGAATCAAAGTCCTTCAATTTCAGATAGATAGACAATGTCACGTTTCGCCGGGTACTTATTAGCACGACGAACACCCTTAGGCGAAATCTTCCTAGATCTCCATATCCAAACATGGACAAGCAGATGGCGGAGGACATATATAGCTGCAGACGTAACTCTGATCCTGAAAGAAGTGCTGGGATTCATTTGCCCATTCCATCTCTGAATTCGTGGGTATTTGCCAGAAACTTTCATTTAGAAAGATATCTGGATACCCAGAAGGCTCGACGAAGGCCTGAGTCTCCGCATACTCGTCAGGTTGTTGGAGTTCATAGAGTGGATAAAATTCCATCTTTGTTTGTTGCCCTTTGATCTCAGATGGCGCTGTGGTTGTCAAAGGTTCTGGTTGCTCATATGTGTAATCGGGAGCGTTTAAAGGAGATTCCAACACCTGGTTCCATGGAAGGGGCCGACATTGAGCGATATTAGCTGTCAGCTCCCTGTCCCTTGCGACGTCGGTGGCTAAGATATCCTGTATCAATGCCGCCTTATCAGACCCCAGTTTGATCAAACCGAGCGCCTCCAATATGGCAAACGTAGTGACCGGTCTGTTAGGTTCCTCAAGTAGACCGAGATAGTGAGAGTTGCCGATCTTGGACGCTTCATAGAGGCGATGTATAGCTTCGGTCATGACCTCCAATATTTGCCTGTAGCTTATAGCTAGTCAATGGAGTGCCTTTGGGTGAAGACTTTGAAGATAATTACCCATTTTGCTGTCCACGACCCTGGAATCCCTGATACGAACAGAAGCTTTCACTATCCTGACATGGGATGCAGAGCTTTCCCCCGTAACACTTGAACAGTAAGCCTCTGTAGAGAGTTCTCGGAAGGGGAACTCGAACTTTTATCTTTTTGAGTTTGCAGCGATCGCAGGCTCGCTGCTTTCGCGATGTTTTAGCAGTATCGCTACTGCTACTTGTTTTTTCTCGATCACGTATGCTATCAAAGCACTGTAGCATTTTGTCCATCTTGAGCTATGACATCAAAAGAAATGAACAAAAGGGCTCTAAATAGTAAGTTTAATGGCCAAAGTACGGCGCGGTCTGTTTGGGGACTGAGTGTTCTTCAGTCGGAATCGCAATAAATACTGTACTGAACTATTTCGCCACTTATTGCCCACGTCAGCACAGGTTTGTGTTATCTCCACCATATAATTGCTACTTAATCATTTAGCAATGCCATTTGCGTGTTTCCTTGCTATAGCCTAGACGTATGCGATTACGAATGGCAGAAGTAACAACCCATATCTAGAAATACGCTCTGTTAATTCCAAAAGGCTCCCCACGACCTCTTCTAGGTTAGAATTATATATAAAACAGGCGCCACAAACGAAATGGTTTTCCATCATACTTATAGATGACTAAGTAATGGATTGATATATTATTTAGAGATTGATAGATGTCCTGACGTTCACCAGTGAAGTCTAACAAGCCCACTTCTTTAAAAGTAGTTGAACTCCTGGAACTCCTGGAACTCTAAGTCAATACATTTTTGTTCTTCGCGAAAATCTTCTTCGATACACTTTTGTTCCTTGCGAAAATCTAAAACTGCGTTCTTCAGTCGTTCCGTTGCATCACGGACGTCCTCAACCATCTTCGCAGATCTTAATTCTATCTGACAATTCTTCGCTACCTCCGCCCTTAGTTTCTTGTTCTCTATTTCGAGGGCGCGTATCTGTAGCCGCGTATGAGGGCTTGTGTGTGACTGAGCGTTCTGTGGACCGGGTCGCGCTGTTGACCTCGGTGGAGGAAAGTGCTGGCCGCTGCGCTTAGTTCCTGGAAGGCCAGATAGAGGAGTATCGGGAAGGTCTTTTCTTGGCGTTACAGAAGATTCAGCGTTATCCATATTGAATACCTCCTGGCTTCGTGCTTGAATTCTCAGAGCCAGGAATAACGTATCAACAAAGTCGATTGCTGCTTCGTCGTTCTCAATTCAGTTTGAGCAAAAGAAGTTACTACACAGAGGCAACGAGGGTTGAAGGGATATAAATAGCGCCACTAAGAATCTAAGTTAAACTTATTGTTATTTATAAAGCTAATTTAGAAATCAAACTTTGGTCTCATAGTCATATTGTAGAGACTGACGCGGTCGATTAGATTGCGCTCACGAGACCTCTCAAATGCGCTCCCGCCCCTAACATCACGGCGACATGTAGGATTTGATGGCTGGAGCCCAAATAGTCAAAGATCCCTGGAAACCACTTTTCGGGTATCTGCAGATGGTTGAATTACTAGCCTGCTTAATTGAGGATAAGTAGCTTACCCTATTTGCATAGATAATTGCACCGGTGATGTTCAACAGGCTCATGACAATCATCCATCCCAAGTTCATTCGCTGGTGGACTGGCGCGACGCCATACAAAGAAATACTGTGGAGCATAAATACCAAAGGTGAGCATGCAAGTGCCGAATATGTAAGCACACGCTGGTAACGAAAACGAGGCGACTTGAAGTGCGGGTGTAAGGTTGTCAGGGCACAGAGTATTGCCAATGCTGAAGTCTAGAATAGGTTAGTCGTGGGCGGAGCGCTTGATTTGGGGATTTCAGCTTACCGTACACCAGTAAACATATTGGAGTTTGGTGCTATTGAAGAAAGCAAAGTAGATAGCGGGAAGGGTCGCCGCCCAGACCAATAGCACAATGCCCAAGTAATCTAAGTGGTTCCAAAGTGAGGCAACATACTGACTATGGTTAGCCAGGGTGTGAAACCTGTGTGATCTCAGCAAAAGGCGCGCATTGAATTGAGTTATCCTTACAGAGCTGATAAGAGAAAGCAGGCTGAAGCCCCCATCGAGAACGTTGTTATTGTGAATTTCTCCATTAAGGGATAGTCGAAGTGTTCGTCGTATAGGAAGCGGAATGCGTAGACAGGAGATAATAAGAACACAATAGATCCGAGTAAGTGAGTCCAGATATTCACTAGGTTAGTTTAGTTAGTGACGAGACGAGACAAAGGAGGAATTGTCTTCTCAAACTTCACCTGTTTCATTATGGATAGAGAAGATACTTATTGCGCATGCTGTCCATGACCCTGATGGCGGTCTGTAGACTGTTAAGTGTTTTGATTTTCAGCCTTACTGAGAATAGATCCTACCGATAGCCACAAGTTATATATTCGTTGTCTCTTTACATATGCGGGTCAGTGAAACCCGCGTTAACATTGTTGTAGAACTCACTTCTGCCATCCTTCTAGACATTGACCCGAATGTTAGCGAGGCAATTTAACCAATGAGCCGACTTACCAAGATCGTCCCAATGTATAAGTCTGTCACCCTGAGCGTAGAGTTGGTATTGACCAAACCAACCGGCTTGGGTTCTCATCCGACTTGAAGCCATAGGCGAATGGCAGGGCGCACCATATCTCTCTGTGTTTATGAGTATTAAGGAGCTAGTGCTTGGGGGGAGAGATCATATTCAGGACGCTCTCGTTTAATATGTTTACTAGGGATCCTATTTTATTAATCCGTTCCCCGCTCATGACCATTCGGAATAAAGCCGGAATGCTTCTGGAAATTATTCTCACAAGTATAAATGTCTATTGTAGTAATCTAAATGGCTGACTTACCCCTTCAATACTGCGATAACATTTAATTCGAACAGGCTTTTAATTATATACATTGGAGACTCCTTTTCCAAACTTTCCCGAAATTCTATTCATACTCCTTCAACGGTAGCAGCAGACGACACGGGACAATGAACCAAAACCGAGAAATTACGGGCAAGAAAGAAAAGTTGGAGAGGACTCGGTTTTATCGCCTGAAAAAGGGGTTCTTTAAACGAGCATCCAATCTTCACAAAAAGTGTCAAGCTGAAGTTTACGTCTTGGTCCGAAGGAATGGCCGGTCATATATTTTTAGCTCTGTTAAGGCCGAGCGCTCACCGTTTTCGGAACATATATTGGTTTGTAACATCATGGTCTTATTCATAGACTGTTGTCTTACATCTCATAGGAACAGAGCTATCCTCCGCCTCAATGGTCGTTTCCAGATGATGTCCAAGCCCGAAATCCCTAAAATTAGTAGGGCTTTGTTTTATGTGGGAAAATGACTAACGCTAGAGCTGATGGGTGGAGATCTTGCCGATCAAAGTTTCTAGTTAGCTAAAGGATAAAGATGGTACAAGGTAGAAGCAATAACTACCTATAAGTTAACTTTGATCTTGAAACAAATAAACCTTTATTTTTCGCCTGCTTTTAACTATGGATACTAGACATCTGTCGAGTCCCTATAACGAGACCCATATCGTGCAGACGCCGCCGCGGACTACTACAGATGGAACGGTTGAAGCGCCAGCACAAACCACAACTTATATTGATGAATACGGCGGTAAGGGGCATGGAAGTAGGAAACTACATTTTGGCCCTTCAAATAAAATGTCAACTGACTAGAGTGATAGGAAAACGACTTAAACGACCCCTTCAACAGGCTGAAGAAGCGCACCACACATTCGTTCGGGTTCTAGACCTACAGCCGCAAGAGCCGACATCGACTGCTAACGCAGGCACCGGAGCCAACAGGGCACACGTCGCACCAATACTGCCTCCGGTTGCGCCGAAGATACCTGTAAATTCTTCGCCCAGAACGATTCTTCCCAAGGCAGATCCTGACCACGATCGAAAGGCGGTAGCTGTTCCTCAAGCTTCCTCCATGCCCACTGACCTATCCCTACCTGGGAGACTTTGGACTACGCAAGCTACTCCGACACCACCAATGGCACGTATCGAAGCTGGTATGTCGTTACCATTCATTGGGCCTCGACCGACACACAGGTTTCATTGTCCGCACTGCGGCCACGTCGTACAAGTTTGGGATATAGCTGAACTAGGCCAACATCCAGGGCCGATACATAACACCAACCAGGTTGTACCCAATGGATACGCCCCTCAAGCCCCTGGGCGTTGGGTCCCGTATGGGTATTCTTCGATGGGAGGTAGATGAGCTCCTACCTCAAATGTTAGGATGGTGATATGATTCGGCTGACTGTCCGAGTGGTGGCTACCTCAGTTATAGCAGCTCTGCGTGGGCAGGAATCAGTCATAGTAGCTAGTTGAAATTGACGGTGGCAATCTCAATTACACGTCCGCTTGCCCATTCCTATTATTCTGAACTGCCAGAGGTAGAGGCCCTTCCGGATCCATAGCAGAGGGATATTCACCCAGTTCGAGATCTTATGCTAGTAAAGCGATCGACGTAGGAGATTATAACTAAAGTTGCATCGTAGAGTATAGACCTTGGCCTGGCCGCTGAACCGCAAATGAAAATTATGGGATCCTTCAAAGGTGTAGGGGCGCAAACGCTGGTAACATTGAGACACAGCCGGCTCTAGTGCCTTCTTCTGGGCAACTAACCCCATAAAGGAGGCGGACATCCTCAGATACAAAGCAAATGTAGCTAGATAGCACAACTTGATTACCGTCGCAGTCTCACGTGGAGTCACTAAGCTGGCTAGCCAGGGGCCCACACATTATATAAAATGCCGTGGTAGCCAGAGTGTAGTTTGACACCTCCGTTCACGAAGTGTTTTCTATCGAATATGTCGCAACCCACTTTCCAACCCGACAAGTATTTACTACAACGTGGGATTCAGGCGTCTTGCCGACTCACTGCTCAGCACTTTTTACTTACTCAAAGAGCGGGCGGCTTAATCCACCCTTTCATTGCCGAGGAGATTCGATCGAAAAAAGATCTGGCTATTGCTGATGCTGGCTGCGGTAACGGAATATGGGCCATAGAGACCGCAGAAGAGCACCCATCTGCAGAGGTGGTCGGACTGGATGTGTCAGCAGCACAGTTTCCTGCAGCATGGACCTGTCCGCAAAACTGCTGCTTCCACCAACTCGACTTGATGCAGCCCGTTGGCGAGGAGTATAATAATTGCTTTGACTTGATCAATGTTCGATTGCTTGCGGGGCCACTGAACGGAGGCAACTTCCACCCCATCGTCGACAATCTGTTTCGGATGCTGAAGCCGAACGGACTGATCCAGTGGCTGGACGTTGCATTGGAAGGTATTCGTGCCTACGACTCCTCAGAGGATTCTGATATCATGCCGAACTGGGGGCAGCCAGCTTCGATCTCGACTCAATTCCCGGCGTTCGTCAAGTCTACGGGCTGGCTTAAACAATTGCCGACTTTTCTAAACCAACGTGGATTTACGGACATTGAGATGCACGAATGTCCTCCAAAGAAATCCATTTTAAGGCACGAGACGGACGATATTGGATTGGTTTTGATCGAGTTGTCGAAGTCACATCCTAATGTGGAGTCAGATACCGCCGACAAGTTCAAAGTTGCTGTTGCTGACTTGCTCAAGGAGATATCGGAGGGACGATTATTCACCGTGGTGCTCCAAACTACTATCGGCAGAAAACCACGGGGCGGACTCTCGAAAGTGGAACGTTCGTCCGCAGTCAATAGGACGGGAGGAGGACGTATTATATAGTCAGAGAATGTTACCGAGGCCTTTCTCAAAAAGGGAGAGATTAGGTTATGAACTGTGAATAACATCTGACCTTATTGCTATAGAGATCCAAGTAAGAAAGGTCTATCCTACGCTTCCTGCTCCCACCGATAATATTTGGCGAAGGGTAGCGTCTAGGCGTGGTGAGAGAGAACTGGACGAAAATGGCTTGAACAGTGATTTAAAGTCGGGAGCCTTCTCAGATTAAGCAGAATTATTTTAAGCATGATTATGAGGGCAGGAAGCTAATAATAATAACGTACTTCTGTGGAGTAGGCGGTGTTAGTAATAATTCAACGTAACCCGAAAGGCCTACTAAATTTAGGAACTTCGTTTCAATGCGACAAAATTATATATATCAAGAAGAGGCTTGAACAAAATCTATATCACAAAGGATACAGCAAAATGGAAGCAACACAATACTACGCAGCGTCTTTGGTCACCCTTCTCTTATCTTTGATCATCTTAGGAAAATTCCCTCCCACACTGCTTCCCGGCTCTATCCTTAAACATCTCGCCATTCGACAAGTCCAATATGTCGCATCTACAAACACGACTTGGTTCGACATGATCTTCATGACAATATATTGCATCGGAAATGTTATCTTTTTGTGGAGTCAATCTAATAGTTGGACTGATTTCGCCAACAGATCTGGTACTCTTTCAGTCATTAACGCGGTACCCTTATTCTTTGGTGAGAGAATCAGTATCCTACCTTTGGGGATAAGACTACGTATCGACAAGTGTGCGATTTTGCATCGCTACGTTGGGTTTATAGTGTTCTTAGAGGCGCTTGCTCATGTTATCACGGTTGTGATCACAAAAAGGCCCCACTTTGTCGCATCGTCAAATATCACAAGTTTTCTAGTAAGTTCGCCGTCCCATATGCAATATCTGCTGACATTTTACCGGGGAGGCGAGCTTCTTCTTCGTCATTATGATATTATTGTGCCTACTCCTTTTCCTTGGACGCTTCTACGATGTTTTCGCCGTGACTCACACTCTTCTGGCATTCGCAACCTGCATTTCCATATATCTACATATAGGAACAACACCCTGGATGTTGAATAGGGTTTATATTGTCATCGGCTTTGCAATCTTTACACTGAATCACGCCGCGAGGCTTATCCGCATAGCCTATCGAAATTTTAACCTCACCTATCGGAAATTCCGGCTTACGAGTCTTGTGGTGGTCCAAGATATAACGTACAATGACACAGAAAAGAAGAAGGAAAAGATTCGTATGCCCGACGCTATATATCTCCATATCCGGCCGTCCAGACCCTGGAAATTTCGAGGTGGTCAGTTCGTCTACCTAAGATTCATTGACCTTGATTATAGATCCATCCTCCAAAGTCATCCATTTTACATTTCCTGGTGGTATAAGAACAGTGAGGGTGATGATATTGGGGTCTGCATAGTTGAGAAACGACGTGGACTTACCGATAAGCTTTCTAGCGTCGACAATAAGACGGAGGAGAGAGTCCTTATCGAAGGCCCGTATGGTAAAAATCTTGGGCTAGACAAGTATGAGACTATTCTACTTTTCGCTACCGGTATCGGCATTACTGGTGTGATCTCTATGGTTGCAGAATTGTTCAACAGTCCCGAACGGTCTCCTGTGAACTTATGTCAGATATCACTCTTTTGGGAACTGGATTATTCACGTAAGTTTATTCAGAAAGTCTTTGAACTACTATAACTAAAATCCCCTCGAAACAGGACACATCTCTTGGGCGTCAGATTTCGTGGAAGAATTACTCCGCCAGGATATCGATAAGGTACCATTCATCTTCATCTCGATCGCCATAATCAGTTCTGACGAAGCGTATAGAAAATCAAAGTGCGGGTCTTCATTCGAGGAAAGGATAGTTCGAACACTAGTGAACCTAGTGGGGTTATCCACGGGGACATGCCGGTTGAAGATCTCATTTCGTCCGCATTGGGTGGAAATAGAGGGAAAATATTGATCTGCCGTGAGTAAAGGTCTTGAATTATAGATATATTGCTAACTTTTACATCTTTTAGTGTGTACGAGGGAGAAGGTTAGTGTACGGATAAGGAAGCTTGCTAGCCAGTACACTCGGAACGTACGGGTTGAGGAGCTAGAATTTCGCCCTCCACCATCACTCCTAAACAGCGTTGCAGGAATCCAATGATCGATGAATCGACGCCTGATGACTCAGCATCGCGTCCCAAGGAATCGATTCCCTATAACCTGATTGGCTGGGGTAGTATGACTCCGTTCTCAACTACCTAACATAGTATAGACTGATTAGATTATACCACTTTAGGATTAGCTCTACTAAAATAAGCCACGGAGGATCTAGTCACGTGCTTACACTCTCCAGTATAGTACCTAAAGTAGTAGAAGCCTAAGCCTACTTAGGATAAGCTCAAAATAGATTCCTGATTACCTAAACAATCAAGGAATCGATTATCAGCAACGCTGTTCCTAAATAAACGGGAAAGAATACTGAGGGTATTTTTAAGTAGGAAAATGATGGTCTAAGATTTGCAAGGTTTTATAACAAAACTTATTATAAACCTCTGGAAACCTACAGCTTCAATACTAGTAGACAGTGCTTTTTACTTTTTCTTCTTGTCTTCTGTGCCACCCCTCTCCTTTAAATAATTGGCATATGGCATATCAATCTCGATATCATATCGCAGCCGTGCGAAACCGCAGATTGTGGAAACAAAAATTAGCGCAGAACGATGGTGCGGGCTACTTAGGAGGTAAGGAACCTCGTGCAAGGAAAGAAAGATATGACCTGCCGAAGAATGGGCAGCTTGTCGCAGGAGATAGTCAGGAGAACCATAACATTACACAGGATATACGACTCCACGACGTCAAAGCATTACTCAACCTTCAGTCTGAACAGTTATTGAAGCTGGCAGTCTGTGAGAATTGCGGCCTAGAGCCTGCGGGAGAGAAGGAGAGGATCGTCCAGGAGCAGGCCTGGAAGGAAATTCTGTGCCCAACAGAAGAAATCCTTAAGACCATCCACAATCAACTACGCTAGATTCGATTTACTCGGATCGTCTGGAGTATAGCTTCGTTGATTGAAGGATATATTTGTGGATACCTAAGTTTGGTCTCGTTTCGGAAGTCAGTTATACAAGAGCATATATGAGATTTGGGTTAGAATAGATAGTGAACTGGGAATTACGAAGTTTATTTTATTCTTTATAGCCAATCTCTTGCACCTCTTGCTAATCCCGACTTAGGACGTATCGCAGTATTTCCGAAGTATCTTGAAGCCGGAGTCTATGGTTGTCTTCTGCCACTTCCCCACCATCGTTATCCTCCGTCGAGTGGAATTGCTTCTTTCGCTTCCTGTCCCTCCAAAAGCCTTCATCGATCTCAATATCCTCTAACAGATGGAGCACAACTGTATAAGTGCTATCAGCGCTAATAATATCCCAAGCGTCTTCTGGCATCATAGCTTTGCCTTGTGTATCGTAAGGGATGAGACCGTGTTTTTTACATCGTCTCAAAATATCTTCGAGCTTTGCACGGCTTAGATCAAGTTCTTTAGGAGGGCCAGGATCTCTTGTTATCTTTAACTGAACTTTAACGGTTTTTTCAATACCAGCTTTCGGAGTGGGCTGGAAAGTAAAATGCTTGGATTTTGCCTTGAATGCCTGCTCCGTTTCCCCAATCTCCGCCTGTTGCTTTCGTATCTGTGCTTTCAGTTTTCTGTTATTATCTCGATGTAATTTGTGCGTACTCGATTTCAGTAACAATATCTGCGACTTGAGATCGACGATTTCCTGTTGGAGTGCTTCCCTCCCTTGTGAGAATAGATTCACTTGCGCCTGCTTTTCTTCGACCTCCTGTGAGAGCGTATTTACCCGAGATTCGAGGTCGCTATGCTCCTTCCATGCACGGTCCTTATCTGAGGTTGCCTTCTGGAGTTCGATATCCCATTTATTCTTTTCGCTTTGAAACTTCTCTCGCTCTTCTCGTAAGTTTTGCTCTTGGGCTTTTTGGGCTTCCTGTGCGCCCAATTCCAAGGTTGAAAAAGCCTCCCCAAGCGTAATAACCCAGTTACTGAGGAGAAGCCACTCTTTCGCAACAATATCTTTGGCTTCCGATACCTCCTGCACATTTTGTCGGAGATGTAACGTCGCTTCGGAATATAGCTTACTTTCCAAGCTCACATTATCAACCCTTGTTAGCTGAAGACCGGGCCCTTCCTTCTTAAGAGATAGTGATACATTATCATAATCTATTAGTGGGATCTCGCCTCTCCTTTTATCGAGTTGTTGCCTTGTCTTCGTCATTGCTTGTCCTAGTGAGCGTAGTTCGCTTAGTAATGTCTCAGTAAGGCGAATAATTTCCTCTTTCATCTGCGATTCACACTGCTCGGCCATTGTTTTCTGTTTGAGGCTTTCCTGGGCCTGCTGAAGCTGGGTCTGAAGTTCAGTATTCTCTTCGAGAACGTTGTCGAAGCGAAATTTCATTTCTTGAGCTGTAATGTTTCCAAGTGCTAACTGTGTCTTCGAGAGGTAGGCCTCGAGTTCAACAGCCCTATCTCGATGAGTCACAGATAGCTCGCTAAGATTTTGGCTTTCTTGACTCCTTTGGTCCAGCTGCTTCTGGAGATCTGAGTTTTGGCTTTCCAATCGAAACGTTGACTCTTGGTGCTCGCTTTGCATTTGGTGCAGCCGACTTTTCAGTTCGGTTATTTCTGAGGTGAGTGATTCGTTTGTGGACTTATAATCCTGAAGCTGGCGGTCTGCTGATCTCGAATCTTCTAAGGCCATTCTTTCGGCTGTATTTCTCTCCTCGTTATCGGCCCGCAATTTATTCACTTCCAGCTGCAAGATCCTCACTTTCTCTGCCAAAAATTCATCTTGTCTTCCTTCACTATTCTCATTCGATAAACTAGGCGAAAGCATCGAGACTTCGCTTTGTCTTCCACCAATATCATTGGACAGGCTCTGCGAAAATAAGTTTGAGTCCAGATCCATTGTAGAGGTCTCAGAGGGTATTGGTGGTATTGGCACCGTGTCGCAAAAGATAAGATCGCCAAAGAAAGCCTTATAGACTGCGACTCGAACAAATAGAGAAGAGAGTCCTCGTCCATAGCTAATTTCATCCTCAGTCCAGAAGAGGGGTAAAAATGTGTAATCATGGTCATATTGATAGGCGAGCTCCCAATGCCGCCCACACCTCCTCTCTATTCCCTCTCCATTCTGTTCGACAAATAGAGTCGGCGGAGCGAATGAAGAGGTTTTTTTCTCCGCCGTATTGAGAATCTCAATTATTCTCTTCTTGTTTTCCTCAAATTGTGACTTACTGAAAGTATAAGTGGGAGGCTTGCGAGCCTGAAGTAAAAATGCCGATGTCCTTGTCTCGTCTGGATCAGCCGCTAGTAGCCTTGAAATCTCATCGCTTTCAAACCCTAAGTTAGAGGCGAACCGGGCAAGAGATGTCCAAAGGTACGGATCAGGTTCCTTAGGTTCGGGTGTGGGTCGGCCGCGTTCTTTCAATGGCGTTTCAGGGATGAATAAAGAGAAGTCCCTTCCTGCAAACAGAAAGAGCTGGAAGATCCCCCAGCTCAGTTGCTGCGTAGGGCTACCTGTATAATATCGTATCGACGATTCTGATTCTTGCACACAAATAGCATCACTCGACTCATCTGAATTCTTAAAAGAGTCGGCCATAGCCCTTCTTAGTGTCCTAGAGACTGGAAACAGCCTTTTGAGTATTTTTGCCAGAGGGTTTAGGAACTTTTTATCCTCTCCGAGCCCGTGCAGCGAGGGTATAAGTGTTTGAACATTGAGAATATTCTCCCATATACGATCTCGTCGCACTGTGTCCGTCACGAATGCGAAAAGGCTACCGTTGGCCATTAGGGGCTGAACAAATTCGAAATCTTCCTTACACCGGCCGGGAACTCGTAGCTGCAACATTTCGACAGTGAATTTGTCGATCATTTGCATCATTTGCTCGTCCGCATCTAGTATATAGGACCAGACTGTTACAATATGCCGGAAGTAGTGAATAAATTCCTAGTTTTAAGTTCAATAGACTACTCCTTTCGGAGGAATATTTACGCACCTCATCGCATTTCATAGTGATAGCCTCGTGACACATCGACAATGTGAAGCCAAACCTCTGGCCGGGCATAGTTAGCACCTCGTTGAGAGCGGCTGGGAGCATACTGTGTTTCAAGAATTGGCTTAAGTTCTTCTGCCTGTTTGGTGAAAGTCGGGCACGCCACCGTCCTTCCGCGAATACGTTCCCTTCTTCATGGTACTGACGGATATTATAATATATTTCTAAATCACTGTATGCCCGTTGATTGGCATATTGCTCACTCAATATATTTTTCAAATTGATACTGCTGTCTTAGTGACTGTGTTAGTGAAGAGGACATATCTCGCACGCGTTACTGACCTTTAAGGTAAAGATCTACAGCCCAGTATTTCTTTCCAGGAGGAAGGACTGGCTTTCCGGCTTCGACACGCGAGCGACCTTCAAGACAGATGAGCGGACGGTGAGCGGGGAATTTCACCACTGGCGGAACTCCATCGGGATTCTTTAGAAGTTGGTGTTCACTAACATCTGGGGTTCGAAGTATATCCTTAAGCTTCTCATCTGATATAATTGCGACAATACGGTTCTCTGGCTCCAAAGGCAAGCAACCTTCCGTACGGAATACGTTTCGAAGTCTTACTATGTTGGCCTCGGCGTCCGCCGAGATTGGCTTTTCGAACTCGAGATGGCTTAATCCAACGCGTATCGTCCCGCGAAAACTCGAGCTTCTCTCTTCACATAGTAGTATTTGCTGCTCGTCAATTAAGCTCTGTTGCATATCGCCTTCTAAGAACTAAGCAATCTAGTAGCAAGACCAAGTAGAAGCGCTGAATAACGGTGAGTTAAACTAAGAAGACTAGGAGACCACGAAATTAGATATTTATAGAGTCTCGATGCTGCTGACTCGTAAATCCTTCCGGCTTACAGCACTGCCGTACATCGATCTCTCTATTTTCGATACTGGTATATATAGACTGTCAGCCACTACTCTCATATCCTTTGATAATTCATTCTTGTGAGTATAATCATCCGAGTATGGACTCAAAGTTTGAAGAACGGCGACGCACGAGACTCCCATTTGGTGGGGCCTTCAAGGCACAGTTCAACATTGGCGATACTTTGTCGAGCGGGCAACCTGACTTGGCCAAGACTACCAGTGGTGTTAAAATCCATCACTCAAGCAGCTCTAGTGATAAACAAACGTACCGGCAGCGCCACATACAAGTCCAGGAAGGAAGCCCATGGCACGTTTATAAGGAGAGATACGACGTTACCCTGGGGGAGAACCTCGTCGTCGGCCAACTAAGGAAAGCGGACTCAAATATTGTCGGAAGAGGTGAAGGAATAGACAGCAGGGTTAAACTTTACGCGATCAGGAGTTTCGAAGCCTCAGACTTTGCAGAAAAAGTCCAGATCCTGCAAAAGATTAGGCACGAGAACTTCATTGACGTTTCCCACATCTTTCTAGATGAACCGACGTGCTACACGATTTCAGATCTTGATGAGATATCCCTGTTCGAGTTTTGCAAGCCGAAATTCAACCTTACCGAGACACAGTTAGCCGCCATTATTTGCCAGGTATGCCTTCGATTCGTGATCGGAACTCGCTCATTGGTTTGAACAGCTTTTGCAAGCAGTCGAATTCCTATCTTCACAAAGCCTAGAACTAGGCTTGTTGACGTGTGCACATGCGGTTGTATCTAAGGAGGGAGTTGTTAAAATTGGTAAGGATCTTTTTGGCTTCTACTCATTTATATACTAATCTCTCAGTCCAGCCAATCCCCAAGATTGCTCGAGCCAACTATCCATTCGGAAGTATCACATCTCGAGGGACACCCTAAAGCTTCAGGGCATCATGTTAACACTTATCGAGAAGTCAGAGCCTGAGGGTCTCCCGGCGGAGCCAACTCAACCTCATAAGTGGTCAGCTTCCCTAGTGGAATTCTTGAACTCGCTGCCTCACCAAGAGCCTGCACAGCTTCTCCAGGTAATAAAATAAGAGGCACAAATAAGAACGTTTCACTGATTGAATTCAGCACCATTTCCTCTTCGGCGCTCCTGATAAGGCCGAACTGGCATGGATAGCCTCTCTAACAAAAATTGCTGTTCATATCCGATACGATTATAGGTAAAGAGGTTTATATAATTAGAATACAGTTAGCTCAGAAGTAGCTGCTAAGACGTATAGCGATAAATGACGGGGTGGGGGGTTATAAAGCTATACTAGTAACGGTCTCGCCTTGCTACGCTTCTATCCTAGTTTATATAGACTCTCCCTCCTCTCCCTAGCTTAGCCTCTTTATATTTACAGTCTATAAGTCTTAGTACTCTTGTCAAGAATGACAAGTCCGAAGGCGTAGCCTGGAATGCGTTAAGAGAATTTCCCACCTAGGGGTAGGTAAACGGATACGACTCGTATGAGAGACTTATTACCCCCTCTCATATTTCGAGTCTTATAGCTTACTATCTCTTATCATCCCTCACTCTACCTATTCTCTAGAGCTATTCCTCACTACTCTCCTCTTTCTATACTATCCTATTAGAAGCATTCTTAATCAGTGTGTGTGTGTGTATGTGTGTTGGGAATGGCTCCCTAACGGACTATCAAATAAGTACATCACCCATCTATACGCGCAGAACGATAGCGATTCCGAGGCTGAAGAGCTTGGAAAGCTAGCCTGAGCCGTACGCTTGTATACATCTAGCCTTCTATGGCCTTTGCGCCCTAATTCGTAATAGGATATTAGCGTACACTTAATATTGGTGTGCGCTTAGTTACTTCCGATATCAACAAAGCGCACGCATAATAATAGAGGACACTTATTCCCAGCGTGCGCTCAACATTAGTGTGCTATCAATATCAGCCTGTACTGTATATTAGTGTGCGCTCGTCTACTTCTGTCAGTTCTAAAATTAGATTAGTAGGGTACGCTCATCACTAGCGTCCACTCATCATGGGCATGCGCTCAACATTAGTGTACGCTTGCCCACATCCGTCAAATTCTAAAATTGATCAATAGCGTACGCTGATTATCGGCGGACGATCATCGTAAGCGTACGCCCAGAGTTAGTGTACGCATCTCATGAGCACACACCTCTCCATAGGGCACACTTAGTTATTTTACAGCTTATCACTAAGTAGGTGGGAAACCATACAAAAATAGCAAATAGACTCTCAGGCACAATAACTGTGTATTGATAGTGAGCCTACTCTAACAATACGTACACTCCTATCGTTATCCAGGGTGTAGCGCTCGTTTGGCAACGGTACAGCTATGAAACAGGCCATGGTAGCGATACAAACAAAGTAACACGGTGTACGAATCTTGATGACGGCTTTGTGACTGATCCAAAGTCCGAAGTTCCGATGTATATTGAGAGGTAAGCACGGACGGAGGGTACCATTGTATATAAGTTTAATTCTGTCTCTTCCGCCCTTCTGGGCCACTACAAGATAATTAAGATGTCTGTTTATGCCTCTTGGTTAGAGAGACCGCTAATATATGGCGTATTTACGCCTATCGGAGTTATTCTATTTACCCTTACAATGGTTATTCTAGCCTGCGGCTGGATAATCCACCAACGGAGCGTATGGTTCGCATCAACGGAGATTATTTATTCTACAACGTCTACGGACGAAGATAGCGAAGCCGAAGATTAAGAACCCTATATGCAGAAAAGTTGGCTAAATATCTGGCATTCACAGTAAGGGATAGTAAATAATTCATTCTTATCTTTAACCGTTAATCTCAATCTCAGGTACATCGGAAAGGCACCAAAGGAATGGCCGGATTCTACTATATTATGGGTAAATGAAAGAAATATCCGGAATGATTTATACTTTTGCCGAGAACAACATTCTCTTCCGAAGAGCTATGTGGATGTGAGCTCTTCCAAAACACATCTCTCTATACAGTCGTGGTTATTGGTTGCAAGAAGACACAATGTCTAGGTTAGCTAACAACAAAGCTTCTGATAGCACTATCCGTCTATTTACTGTGATATTAGCTTTAAGCACAGTAGATAGCTATCGTTCCTAATAGAGGAACCGTACAGTGAAACGGCCTTAATTGCATATCTTGATACTAAAAGTTCCCCTGTCTACAAGCACAGCCCCATCCTATCGCATCAGGTGATTTTTGCCAAATTCAACTTTCCGCCAGTGAAGTGAATCGTTGGCACCATGGTGATCCCGCTTAACAGTCCGAATGTCCAAGACATTGTCTTCCAACCGCCAATTCTGAAGACAAAGCCACCCCAGAGCGGACCGGCCAAAAGCCCGCCAGCAAGCCATAAAGAATACAAAGCATATGCCTGTGCGATAGCCCCTCTAGATCCAAAAGCTCCTGGCTGAACTCGTGTTTGAGATTCTACCGTGAATGTAATCTCTGCCATCAGTGGTGGTGTTGCAAGTGTTGTCGTCATACCAAGCATCGCGAGGAAAATGCACAGGAGAACGATTTGTCCAACTCCACCGTGGGTGATAAGCCTCATAAGGATCCAGATGGGACATCCCAAAATAAATGCTGAAGCCGCCATCCACTTGGGACCATATTTGTCCGTCATTTGTCCAATCCACGGAGCCAGGAAGGTCGGTAACACAACAGGAATAAAGATGAGTCCTGCTCCCTGTGCTCCCCACGTGAATGTATCTCGCACGAATAGTGGAAGCACAGCATCCAAAGACGTAATCATCGTCGCTTGTGCAAAAGTGGCCCATAGCGCGACGTGAAGACGAGGATTTCGAAGTAAGCGTAGTGTTGGCGATATAGTCCGAGTAAAATTTGCCCACCACGTATCTCTCGCAGTAAACTCTCCGGATCCGCCATATTTTTCGAATAACTGAGTCTCGCTTTCAAGCCAGAGAGGCTCTAGGTGAGGAATGTCTTCTCGGATAGGCGACGGT